TTCTTTTTGCTTATGTGGTGCTGAGGAATCGAACCCAGGGCCTCGAGCATGCAAGGCAAGCGCTCTACCACTGAGCCACCTTCCCAGCCCGTCCATTTCTCTTTGGGTAGTGTCACCCTCCCTCCCTCTGTCCTACTTTCCCCCTTCCATCCCCATTAAAAAAAATTAACTTTTTGTTTCAGAGTGCTATACAGCGAGGTTGCCTTTACACACGTCAGGTGGTAAGTTCGTTTCCTTCCTTTTGCTTAGTATCGTTTGTTCCCTCATTCTCTCCCATTCCCTCTCGCCCATCTCCACCCAGAAGTTGCGTGGTTCCCTTTCCTCAATGTCCAGTGCAGCCAGTGGGCCCCGGCGGCTTCACGTTTTCACCCATTTTCCACTGATCCTGTCCCATCTTCCCATATTAGTATACACCATATATGAAGTAACAAATACAGAGTCGCCCCATATTAGTATACACCATATATGAAGTAACAAATACAGAGTCGCTGGGGGCTGGCGGCTCATGCCTGTTGTACTAGCTACTCAGGAGGCTAAGATTTGAGTATCACAGTTCAAGGCCAGCCTAGGCAGGAAAGTCTGTGAGACTCTCCAGTTCACCACCAGAAAACAGGAAGTGGCCCCGTGACTCAAAGTGGTAGAACGCTATCCTTGAGCTAAAGAGCTCAGGGACAGCCCAGGCCCAGAGTTAAAGCCCCACAACCGACCCCCCCAAAAAAGAGAGAGAATAGAGTCATCTGAAGAAAACAAAAAGACAAACTAGGCAAAGGGCCTTTGTTTCCTTATCTTTGGAGTTTCAGTGTGTGTGTTATCTTATATACATATGAAGAGGTGCTTGGATTTTACAAGTTGGTGTTTTTCTCCCAACACTATCCTCTTCTGGTCTCACTGTATATGATGGTCTAGAATCCTGTAGTTTGTCATATCCTGTTGCTTTTTAAATCTAACTACCGCATATTAGGGAGAACATGCGCTGTTTTCTTTTTGTTTTAAAGAAGCAAAGTGAATGACAGCAGAGTAAAAGAGGCTTCCAGCTTCGTAGGTGGGGGCAGGGAACCAGCCCGAGGAGGAGCTGCAGAAGAGGGTGTCCGAGGATGAATATGTAGTATTTGCAAATGGGAAATTCGTCAAATGAAACCTGTTGAGGTTGTTTTTAAAAAGATGGAGTGGTGCCAGGGATACCTGTGCCAGGGTGTGGGAATGCCACCATGAATCCCTCCCTTGTACACTAATGTAGGCGGATTAAAAAATACGAATTAACGTAAGTGGGCAGATAGGCGGCCTTCCTATTGGGAAGCTGTGTACAAGATGTGGCCAGATGGAGCCAGGCTGCAGAAAATGCTCATACAGACCAATTTTGGAGAAGAAAGAAGGGAGATTGGATGTGTAGAGATGCTGACTTGTGGGGCAGATGACAGTCTGGAAGCACGGTGGCATCTGACGATGGTTGGGTTGCACGTTTGTCTCCCAGACCTCAGTGTTACGGTGAGTGTGCACCGTGTGACTTCTGAGAAGCAGAAAGCCAGCTCCCTCCGTCAGGACTGGAGTTTCATTGCCTCTCAGGTATGAAGGGTCAGAGTTTCTGCCTGGGAGACTCCTTCCCCAGCAGGGCCTCCAGCCTGCCCTCCCCAGGTAAGCTGAGCCCCACAGAGTCAGGCCAGAGCTGTGCTGATCAAGAGTTTAGAAGGGTCCCAGTGTGGCTTTGCAAGTCTCCTGTGGGACTCCAGCAGGTGACTGTCCTGTCCTTTGGATGAGGATCCTTTGGACAAGGCCACAGGTAAGCCCAAGTTATGCGCTCGCCCCCATGTCAGCCTCAACCCTGGGATGGCAGGGTGCCAGGGGACCTTGTCAACTCCTGTTAAAGCCACAGATGTTTCTAGGAGATTGTGGTTATTATGAGCCAGGGCTTTTCTTTTAAAAGTTAAGAAAATTATTTTATTCTGCAAATACATGTGTACTTGAAAAATTAGAAAAAAGGAAAAACAGAAGAAAGAGCTGTGTTTTCAGCTTAAGATTTGAAAAGCCGCTTAGATGATGTTATCCATTGCAAACGGCCCTCTTCCTGGGGGCATGATGGGCTGTGCTTGGTTGGGACCGGCTGGGTGGCCTTTGGTGCCATTTCTTATCTGATTCTCCCTGGAACTTGTAACTGTCATCAGAATTGTCTGTGGTGAGCTCTGCAGACACTCCCGTGCCTGCTGGTGTTTACTGCCCTTGGGAATCTTTCTGAGATGGTTTCCCATCCCCTTTGCCCAATCCTAGTTCTGTCATTCTTTCTCATCCCTCAATCCAGTAGCGCTCCTGAGATTTAACAGATTTTCCAAGTTGTCCCTCTGCTGATTCCTGTTTCCAGGATCATCTTCCTCCACATCAGATCCTTAGAGCAGCTCACAGCTCAGCACAGCTCTGCAGGCCCCCACCCAGCGTGGCCCTCCAGGAGTCGGGGCCAGACCCCTCCCACCCACAGAGGCCTGCTGGATGAGTGACAGTCATCCTCCCTTTCTGGACCTCTACCTAGCCTCCTCACCTTTGGAGGAGCAAGTCTCCAGGTGGAGTGCCAGGCACATGGCTCGGACTGGATGTTGAGTGTCTGGTTCTACTGTTGCACCTAAGTCCACAGTCCAGTGCCTGCCACTCCCCTGTCACCTATGTGGAGCCCGTGAGTGGCTGTGAGCTTGCAGCTGGTCAGAGGGGGTGCGAGGGATGTGACAACCCTCCCCGAAGCTGGGTCTCCAGTGCCAGGGGTTGGATCGCCCGCTGCCCTGAGTGTCCCTGGCTGTGGGGAGGCCTGGGCCAGCCCACATGGGACGGGACGGAGTCCAGTACCCGCCTGGCTCTCAGCCCACACACCAGCTACCCAGCCCATCCCCGAGCAGATTCTGACGTGCAGAAACATGAGATGTGATTTTGATAAAGGCTTGTTTTAGGCACACACACACACACACACACACCAACCTTCCCATTACACACACCACCCCCACCCCAGGACTGTGTGCTTCGCAGTGGCCTGCCCTAGCACCTACCATCCACATGGGCTTAATGCGAGAGCTCCAGTTTCCTCCTCCTAGAATTCCATTGTAACTGGTGGCCATTTCCCTGGCACACTGGCTGTGCCCCTGGTGGCCTAGGAACGGCTTCTGATGGCTCAGTAACCCTTTCATTTCTGGGACCAACAAATCTCGACACTTCGATTTAACTCGTGGAACACTGAGACCTGAGCCACTTTTTTTTTTGGCCCTGGGCTTGAACTCTGGGCCTAGGTAACTTTTTTTTGTTCACAGCTGGTGCTCTGCCACTTGAACCACAGCCCCACGTCTGGCTTTCTGGTGGATAATTGGAGGTAAGAGTCTCACAGACTTTTCTATCCAGCTTGACTTCAAACTACGAGCCTCACATCTCAGCCTCCTCCTGAGTTGCTAGAATTCAAGCGTGAGCCACCAGCACTTGGCTGTGGGCACAAGTACCAGACAAAAACGTTCACGACACAAGGCCTGCAGGAAGATTAGCAAATCCAACGTGACGCAGGTTGCCAGGCTCCAGTCCAGCTTATTCTCTGTGCTATTGTGTGTTCTTGGCATGGTTGTGGATCCTGGAATGCGCTCAGGGAGTGTGTAGGCTTGAGAGTGGCTGAGAGTCCTAGGGAGGATATGTAGGCCTCTGCCCAGCGCCTGTGGGGAAGGCTGGCCGGGTGTACCCTGACCCGCCTACCTCAGGAGGGCGGCATCTCCCCGAGCCTCCATCACTCTCCCAGTTCAGTTCTTTTTCTTTTATTTTTTTTGGGTCCGGTCGTGAGGTCTGAACTCTGGGCTTGAGCGCTGTCCCTCAGCTCGCTAGCACTCTACCACGTGAGCCACAGTGCCACTTCCCGTTTTTTGCTTTTTGCTTATGTGGTGCTGAGGAATTGAACCCAGGGCCTCAGGCATGCAAGGCAAGCACTCTACCACTGAGCCACCTTCCCAGCCCCCAGTTCAGTTCTTTCTGTTGGCCCCATGCTGTGCCAAGAAGGCATTAAGGGGCTGTGACCCCCTCCTCCAAGCTGCCCATGGGCCTTCACTGTTTAAATTCGGGCACACTGGTTTGGTCATCCGTGGTGGGGCCCTCCTCGCTGGCATCCTGTGTCCCCTGCAGGCCTTTGGTGTGAAGTGGCGGTGGCCTCTGCGCAGCCGCTGCGAAGGCCCAGGTGCACTCGGCTTATCCTAGCCAGGGTGAAAACTCAGCTCAGGAGACAAGCACCAACTTGGTTCTTGTGGGCCGAGCAGCAGGGTGGGTGTTCCCTTCCACCTGGAGTGGGCTGGCGGCAGAAGAGACTGGAGAGCAGGCCTCAGGGCTTGTCCTACCAGGGCTGGCCCAGTGTTGCTGGGAGTAAACACAAGAATGAATGTGGCAAGAATGAAGTGTTCTGCCAGAGGGCCGGTGGGCAAGTTCAGGATGGGCGACCTGCAGCCCTTCTTGCTACAGGGCAGGGAGGGTGTGGGGGGGTGGAGTTGCAGGGGGTGAGGCGCACCGGAGCGCAGGTCTCCTCTCTCCCTGGAAAGCCACATCACATTGGGTCTGGGCCTTACCTCGGTGGCCTCCCATAGTCAGAATCGCCTCCAAATGCCGAACTCGCCCTACCAGCACCCCACGCCGGGGGCTGGATGCCAGCAGGAGCACGCAGTATTGTTAGGCTTTGTGTTCTTTTTCTCCTCGTGTAATTGTTTTTCCTGGAGTTACTAATTGCCTCGTTTTGTCTAGTTGGTTCCATCTTTGCTTTCTAGAGTCTAGCGTCAGACAGAGAAATCCGAGGTCCCACGGTTCTGGAAGAGCCTGCTTTTCTCTGTTTTTAAGAAAACCTTTTGGAAATCCCTGCCGTTTACCTGGGGGCCGGTGACTCACACCGTAATCCTAGCTTCTAAGGAGGCTGAGATCTGAGGATTGCTATGAGACTTATCTCTAATAAACCACTCAAACTGGACGAAGTGCTGTGGCTCAAAGTAGTAGAGTGCTCGCCTTGAGCCAAAAAAAGCTCAGGAACAGCTCCCAGGACCTGAGGCCTCCCCATCCCCCCAAATTCCCTGATGATTTAAAATTTAAAGGTCCACCCTCTGAACTTGCTGTGGAAGTATGGTCCTCAGTGCTTATCCCAAGTTAAGACCTCTTAGAGCAGCAGTGGGAACCTAGAGAACGTTGTCCTTCCCACTTTTTGGTAGGGTGATTGTGGGGGAGCAGGGCAGTGCTGGGGTTGGGGCTCAGGGCCGCATGCTTGCCAGGCAGGCACACTGCCCCTTGAGCTGCCTGCAGCCTTTTAGCTTTTGTAAGGTTTCTCATTTTTGCCCACTGTGGCCTCAGACCTCAGTTCTTATTCCCACCACCTGCTTAGCTGGATGGCAGGCATGCTGCACTACACCCAGTTATTGGTTAAGATAGTGTCTTGCTAACTTTTTCTCCTCAAGTTCCCCTCTTTCTGAGTAGCGGGGATTATAGGCCTGAGCCTTGGGCCCTGGGTAATGATTTATCAGTGTTCTTAGGACAGAGGGATGGGTGGGATACTCCACGTCTGCCCTGGTGGTGTCTTCTCCCCGAGGGACACCGACAGCACACACAAACACACTGGTGCTGTTTGGAGAAAGGACAGGGGTGGGTGCGAGAAGCTAGAAGGGCAGGTGACGGGGGACGGAGTGGAGGCAGTCAGGGGGAGCCTAGGGCTGCCCATTTCTTCTCCGTCTGTAATTGCTGTCAGAACCAGGATGGCCTGTGGGCCCCGCAGAGGCAGCGGGCAGAGGTGCCCGACACCTGTCTCGCAGGTGGTCTTCAGGATGAACTAAGCACTTGTCTTCTTCCCTCAGGCCACGATGGCTTCAAAATCTCAGGCCAGCATCCTCAAAGCCAAGAATCCTGCCAGCAACTTCAATGGCAAGGCCGCGTCTCAAGGACAGTGGGGCCGGGCCTGGTAAGAACCCGAGGCAGCTTCCGTTAAGGGGGGTCCTAGCAGCTCAGTCTGGGCACCATAGTGGCTTTTCACACCCAGTGGTGGGCCTTGCATAGTGGCAGACAGCTGTCACTCAAGTTATGGGCTCATGACACGGACAGGACTCCCGTGCCAGGACATCTGCTGAGTTCAGGTCTCCATTGTCTTTTTCTTTGGCTTGAACTCAGGGCCTGGGCACTGTCCAGGATCTCTTCAGCTCAAGGCGAGTGCTCTACCACTTGAGCCACAGCACCACTTCCAGTTTTCTGGTGGTTAATGGGAGATAAGAAAGAGTCTCGGACTTTCCTGCCCAGGCTGGCTTGATGCATGATCCTCAGGTCTCAGCCTCCTGAGTAGCTGGGATGACAGGGGTGGGCCGCGGCGCCCAGTGGTTTTGTCTGTTTTGCAGGGAGGTGGACTGGTTCTCCCTGGCCAGCGTCATCTTCCTGCTGAGCTTCGCCCCCTTCATCGTCTACTACTTCATCATGGCCTGTGACCAGTACGACTGCTCGCTGACCACCCCTGTGGTGGACCTGGCCACTGGCAAGGCTCGCCTCGCAGACATCTGGGCCAAGACCCCGCCGGTGACGGCCACAGCCGCCCAGCTCTATGCCTCCTGGGTCATCTTCCAGGTCAGGCCCTGCCCTGGCTGGCAGTGTGCTGGCCTGGCCTCTGCCTGGGGCTTGGGACCACACTCCCCGTCCTGGAGCTGGGTGGGAGGACATCCTGAGCCCCCAGAGCCGCGCGTGCCCAGTTTGAGAAGCCTTGCTTCAGAGCAGAGCAGCATTAAATAACATTTCTCTTTCAAGAGGTACTGGTGAAGGCGTGAGGGACTCTGCAGCACAGGGTTAAATGTCTTTTTATTCCTCTTTTTTTGGGGGGGTCTGGTTGTGGGGCCTGAACTCTGGGCCTGGGTGCTGTCCCTCAGCTCTTCAGCTCAAGGCTAGCGCTCTACCACTTGAGCCACAGCACCACTTCCGGCTTTTTTCTTTTTGCTTATGTGGTGCTGAGGAATGGAACCCAGGGCCTCAGGCATGCAAGGCAAGCACTCTACCACTGAGCCACCTTCCCAACCCTGGGTTAAATGTCTTAAACTTAAAAAAAAAAGCTTCGTGGAATGTCTTGCTGTCATAACAATTCATGCTTCATTAGTTTATTTTGATTTACTTCATCTGGATAGAATGACAGCCAGGTGTTCCGAACAGGTGAAGCTAAGAATGTGGGGTGTCCTGTTGTACCTGACTTGAGCTCACTGGAACCCAGGGGCTGAGAGATGGACTGGAAGGGAGGGAAGGACAAGGGAAGGGGGTGAGAGGGAGGGAGAGAAGGAAAGGAGGAAGGGAATGAGAGGGAGGGAGAGATAAGAGGGAAGAAGGGAGGGGAAGCCTGCTCCTCGGCCCTGAGAAGGCTTTTGTGGTTTTGATGGTGAGTTTCGGGGTCAGCCTGCAGGCAGCAGTAGCCCCATCCCCCTTCTACTGCTACAGTGAGGCAGTGTTCAGCGTTCAGCCTCTCCTTGCACTGCCAATAAAACGAATCTGTTTCATTGCACACACGCCCTGCGGGCCTCCAGTTATTTGGCCTGAAATTCTATTTCAGATTCTCCTATACATGTTACTCCCTGACTTCTGCCACCGATTTCTGCCAGGCTACGTAGGGGGAGTCCAGGAGGGGGCAGTGACCCCGGCAGGTAAGCTCTGCTCAGCTGCGCCTCCCCTGAGCTGCCTCACCAGAGGAGCATGGCTTCAACCTGGGTATTTTCCACAGCACCAGGTCTCAAGGGGCTGGAACCTGACTCCAGTCCCATTGTGGGTAGAGCAGGCTCTTCACCCTAGCCCCATCCGTCCACCCACCCACTCCCTACTACCCACTTGTCCATCCATGATCTATCCACCCACCCATCCATCCATCCATCCATCTATTGGTCATCTACCCATCTACTTACCATCTACCTACCTATCCACCTGCAAGTCTGTCCATCCATCATTCACCCACCCACCCACCCACTCATCTATCCATCCATCCATTCATCTTTCACCTACCCGCCCATCTATCCATCCATCATCCACGTACCTATCCATTTAACATCTACTACCTATCCCCCCACAAGTCCCTCCATCATTCACCCACCCATCGATCATCCACCCACCTACTTAGCATCTTCCTACCTATATACCCACAAGTCCATCTGTCCATCTTATCATCTACCTACCCATCCTTCTACCCATCCATCTTCCCCCGAGAGATCCCGATTTAGTGGTGGGCTGGGGCATTCCCAGCAGTCACTGTGGAGCCTCAGACAGTAGTGTCCCCAGCCCACTCCTGCTGCTAGGCCTAAGCCGGGAGCGAGCGCCAGGCGTCTGCGCCCTCCTGACTTTTCCACCCTCCTTGCCTCTGCAGGGATTGTGAACAAGTACCAGATCAACGGCTTGCAGGCCTGGCTCATCACCCACCTTCTGTGGTTCGCCAATGCTCACTTCCTGTTCTACTTCTCTCCTACCATCATCTTTGACAACTGGATCCCGCTGCTGTGGTGCGCCAACATCCTCGGCTACGCCGTGTCTACCTTCGCGATGATCAAGGGCTACTTTTTCCCCACGAGTGCCGAGGACTGGTAGGTCCCTTAGAGGCCGGCAAGCATAGCAGCGAGTAGGGCCTCCGTCTCCGTGCTGTCGCTCCCCTGCGGTGGTCTGGGAAGAGGCGGATGGGACTTGTCTGGCCCCGAGGAACATCCTTTGTAATGTCCGGTGGTTTCTCTGCCGCAGGAAGGATCAGCTGAAGGCAGGCAAGTTTGCTTTTGACACCTTACCAGGTGTCATGGAGTGGGTAAGCCAGAAAGACAGCTTTTGGCTGGGGCGAAGGCAACCTTTTTCCTCTTCCTTTGAGTAGCTATGGTGGCCTGACGTAGTCTTAGGGAAGAATCTGATTTCCTTCGTGGCTTCAACATAACTGCTTCTCAGGAGAGCCCTGCTGGATGGCACCTGTTCTCAGAGAAGCCTTAGGTTGGCAGTGCTCAGCCATTCATCCAGTCCCATCTGTCTTATCAACTGTGCCATCTCTCCTTCCCTCCACCCATGCACTTACCACATCCACCTACTCACCCATCTACCTACCCACACAACCATCCACCCAACCACTCACCCACCCACCTACCCATCCACTCACCCATCCACCTACCCACCCAACCACCCAACCACTCACCCACCCACCTACCCATCCACTCACCCATCCACCTACCCACCCAACCACCCAACCACTCACCCACCCACCTACCCACCCAACCATCCACCCAACCATTCACCCACCTACCCATCTACCCACCTACCCATCCACTCACCCATCCACCTACCCACCCAACCATCCACCCAACCACTCACCCACCCACCCATCTACCCACCTACCCATCCTCTCACCCATCCACCCATCCATCTACCTAGCCATCTGTCTACCCACTTACCCACCTGTCCATTATTTACCTATCCACCCACCTGTCCACTGATCATCCATCCATCGATTCACCTATTCATCCATCATCTATCCTCTACTTACTCTACCTACTCTCTCCATCTATCCACTTATCTATCCATCCATCCAGCAATCCAACCATTCACCCAACCTTCCACCCACCTTCCTACCCCATCCACCCCTCTATCATTCACCCAGGTACCTACCCTATCTACTTACCCATCCACCCACCTGGGCCTGCATTGAGGGTATAGGGTGGGGTGAGGAGAGGCTTGGTTCCGGCCCAGGTGCGGCTTCCTAGCTTTCCTGGGAGCAGCCGTCTGTGCCCCCGTCTGCAGGTGTCTGCTAAGCACAGCTTCCTGGCAGTGGGAGGAGATGAGGGTGGAGGGGCGTGGGCAGAGCTGCATGTCCCTGTGCGTGGGCCTCTGCAGCCATGCGAGCGGAGCCAGGCGCTTGCTGCCCTGCAGCCCCAGGCCCCGCCGAACATGGCTCCCGAGGCCTGTTTTGAGATAAGGTGGCCAACGGTGTCTATTGTTATGGTTTCAGCAAATTCACAGGCAATTTCTTCTACAACTACATGATGGGCATTGAGTTTAACCCTCGGATCGGGAAGTGGTTTGACTTCAAGCTCTTCTTCAACGGGCGCCCGGGGATCGTTGCCTGGACGCTCATCAACCTGTCCTTCGCCGCCAAGCAGCAGGAGCTCCACGGCCACGTGACCAACTCCATGGTCTTGGTCAACGTCCTGCAGGTGAAGCTCCTATGCCACCAGGGGGACACTGTGTGCCGTGGGGGGCGGGGCAGAGCTCCGACACCATGTCCTCTGGCATTCCACAAAAGCGGCGGATGTGGCTCACGTGGTGGAGCGCTGGCCAGTAAGCATAAGCTCTGAGTTCAGCTCTTCCCCCTCCCCCCTCGCTGGTGGGGCCTGAACTCTGGGCCTGGGCACTGTCCTTTAGCTCTTCAGTTCAAGGCTAGCGCTCTACCACTTGAGCCACAGCGCCACTTCTGGTTTTCTGGTGGTTCATTGGAGATAAGAGTCTATTGGACATTCCTGCCTGGGCTGGCTTTGAACCGGGATACTCAGGTCTCAGCCTCCTGAGTAGCTAGGATGACAGGCGTGAGCCACTGGCACCGGCTGAGGGCCCTGTCCATAACTACTGGATGCAGGCTGGGCACAGGTCCGGGGGTCACTGAGTGATGACTGTCTCTCAGGCCATCTATGTGCTGGACTTCTTCTGGAATGAGGCCTGGTACCTGAAGACCATAGACATCTGCCATGACCACTTCGGGTGGTACCTGGGCTGGGGCGACTGCGTCTGGCTGCCCTACCTGTACACGCTGCAGGTGAGGAGGGGCGGCCCGTGGGCCGTGTGGGGCGTGGGGCTGGGACCCTTGTCACCTCTGCCCCCTGGGGAAAGATGGGTCCCACCGGCACCAGAGCCATCTCTTTCCTTTTTTTCTTTGCCTCCCTCCCTCCCTTTGTCCCTCCCTTCCCTCTCTCTCTCCTTCCTTCCTTCCTCTCCCTCCCTTCCTTCCTTCCTCCCTCCCTTCCTTCCTTCTTTTCTCTCCCTCCCTCTCTCCTCTCTCCCTCTTTCCCCTCCCTCCCCTCTCTTCCTCCCCTCTCCCCCCTCTTTTTTTCTTTCTTTGTTTCCTTTCTTTTTCTTCTATCTTTCTTTTTCTTCTGTGCTGGTCCAGGGGCTTAAACTCAGGGCCTGAGCAGTGTCCCTGAGTTCTTTTGCTCAAGGGCAATGCTCTACCACTTGAGCCACAGCTCTCCTTCCAGCTTTTTGAGTAGTTTGTCCTGCCTGGCTTCCAACTGTGATCCTCAGGTCTCAGCCTCCTGAGTAGCTAGGATGACAGGTGTGAGCCACCGTGCCTGGCTGGACCCCATCCGCCAACTCTCAGCAAGGAACGCGTGTCTGTGTTTTCCCTTCGCCCCCCTGACCCACGGAGGGCTCACGTCCCAGTGGCATGTTGGAAATCCATTTTGTAGCCCTGACCCACTAATCCACCTCAGCCTCGTCGGCTTTAGCTGGGCGTGTGCCTGTGGCGGGCTCAGCCCACGCCGCTGCCTCCGGGCAGTGCTGTCAGGTGACGTGCTGGTGCGTGCAGAGGGCGGGTGGGCCAGTCCCCGGGGGTCTCAGTTGTCAGCGCTGGCTGGCGGCTCAGTGTCAGGGATCTGGGCTTGTGCCGTGGCGGGGAAGCAGGTCGAGAACGTGCCACGAGGTTCGCGTCAGCCAGGTCAGGCTGGATGGAGCCGGCTGGGTGGCCATGGTGACTCCGCCCCTACATCGCGGTTACGCCACCACTGCCCCCACGGCCTGGTGAGCGCACAACACAGTGGTTTGTGCTGCTTTTTGTTTGGATTTTTGCTGGGCGGGCCTGGGTGCTGTCCTCAGCCCACTACCACTTGGGCCACAGCGCCACTTCCGGCTTGTTCTGAGTAGTTCCTTGGAGATGAGAGTGTCACAGACTTTCCTGCCCCAAGTCAGCCTCCCGGGCAGGTGTGTGTTTCATAGAAGGGGAAACTGAGGCAGTGCCCGGTCTGGCCATGCTTCACCGTTCTCTGGCCCGCAGGGCCTGTACCTGGTGTCCCACCCCGTGGAGCTGTCCACCCCGCACGCCGTGGGCGTCCTGCTCCTGGGGCTCGTGGGCTACTACGTCTTCCGCATGGCCAACCATCAGAAGGACCTGTTCCGCCGCACGGACGGACGCTGCCTCATCTGGGGCCGCAAGCCCAAGGTCATCGAGTGCGCGTACTCCTCGTCCGACGGCCAGCGGCACCACAGCAAGCTGCTGGTGTCTGGCTTCTGGGGCGTGGCCCGCCACTTCAACTACACGGGCGACCTGATGGGCAGCCTGGCCTACTGCCTGGCCTGCGGCGGGGGCCACCTCCTGCCCTACTTCTACGCCATCTACATGACCATCCTGCTGACCCACCGCTGCCTGCGGGACGAGCACCGCTGTGCCAACAAGTACGGCCGGGACTGGGACCGCTACACCGCGGCCGTGCCCTACCGCCTGCTGCCCGGGCTCTTCTAGGAACCGGCCAGGTGGCCGTGTGGAGCGAGTGGAGCTGGACCTGTGGGCTGACGTCCCGATCCCCCTCCGGGAAACCCAGTCCCTTCGTCTATGATACGGAATGAGCTGGCACGGGCAGGTGCCCTGTCCAGGCTGTTGCTCCCTCCCCTCAGTTTCCCCACGGGGATCTGAGTCTACACCAGCTGTCTTCCCACCAGCAAGAATAAGGTGGGAGGGTGACCGGTCACTTCTGATAGCCTTGGATAAGCTAAGCTGTTTTGGTGTGTGTGTGTGTCCGTGGTGTGTGTGTGTGTGTCCGTGGTGTGTGTGTCCGTGGTGTGTGTGTGTCCGTGGTGTGTGTGTGTCCGTGGTGTGTGTGTGTGTGTCCGTGGTGTGTGTGTCTGTCCGTGGTGTGTGTGTGTCCGTGGTGTGTGTGTGTCCGTGGTGTGTGTGTGTCCGTGG